TGTAACAATCAATATACAATATTAAATATTTCACCCACTGCTCCGCTTCTATTCAACCTCTCTCGGTTAATCTAACACAAAAATACTTCTTCAATTCTAAACCAGTTGTTTATGAGATATGTGCGTTCAAACACACAATAGATATTACGATTGCTTACAGTCGCATTTGCATTCAAGTAGGCATGAATTTATGTATAGTTTAATTTTATTTAAAATTCATTTGTCTTAAGACAACTCAAGAAAAACGTAATCTTATATTATTATATAAAGCGGAAGAACTTGTTTTTTTGTTTGTTTGTTTGAACGCGCTAATCTCCGTAACTACAAGTCTGATTTGAATAATTCTTTTTGTGTTGGATAGCACATTTATCGAGGATGGCTATAGGCTATAAAACATCACGTTACGACCAATAGGAGCTGAGCAGAGCGAGTGAAACCGCGCGGAACTAGCTAGTTAATTATAGATACTTGTCCGAACCTCATCTTCCGTTTCCATATCAATATTCATTCTTATGACCACTATTAGGTATTAATTATTTGAATTATTTTACACTTCACTTAAGTATTAAACTTCACCACTAAGAAAATAACACCACCACTGTTTCCGAGGGTTTCTACGCTACTGACGGCGCCGGCGCTAGTGTAACTTATGGTCCATTGACCAATACAATATTAGCTAATGATAATGACACTATTAACAATATTCTGTTGACTGACGGCACGGATGGTGCGGTGGCTGGGCAACCGGCTAGCGCGCAAAAGTATCGCGGGTTCGGTTCCCGCACAGAGAATCTCTCTGTGATCCACAAATTGTTGTTTCGGGTCTGGGTGTCATGTGTATATGAACTTGTATGTTTGTAAACGTACCCACGACACAGGAGAGAAACCTAGTGTGGGCAACGTTTTTTCAAAATCAAGTCATTAATTGGTAAACTTATAACAGGGTAATTGGACCTTAAGCTCACTAGCGCCATCTAATAAACGTGAATCCTCACGTACTTTTAGTACATGAGGACGTAAAAAATTCAACGCTATGGGTGCTGGTGAGAAATATGTACAGTTAAAATATTTGCAAGCGTACAAACCGTCGGACATCCAATTTCGATAAAGACAGTGGTACAATAGCGGACAAACCAGAAAATTTTCTGAGAATTTTAGTTAACTCAAAGGGTAGTTGCCAGGGAATGAAAATTAAAAATCTTATTAGTTCGTCACTTAGATAATGTTTTAAATTATGCTACCAGATGGACATTAAAATAAAATTCAGGCAACTACCCTATTGTTTGGTAGGCACTTGTAACGACTAGATTAGAAAATTTTGCGCGCTTCAGGAAATAAATAAAAGCCTTAGTTATATCAACAGAAACTACAATAATTCACTTTATATCAGTTACATTGTTAGTACAATGTAACATAAGTGGCAGTTATTCACTTCAAGATTCAATTGTATGCACCGGCTTTATCCAGATATGATTCATATGAAACTAGGGCGTAGCTAGCGATCTTTGGTGACCTTTCAGCTCTTAAATAGGGGACCTTAGACATCTAGATCTCAGGTATAAAGTATTGATATTGAGGACTACTCTACTATTTGTGTTTTTTTTTTAATACTAAAGTCAAAGTCAAAATAATTTATTGCAATTAAACCAGGAAGGCACTTTTGAACGTCAAACAAGTATTAAAATATTAAAATGTCAGTCTATATGTCGGTCAGTCCTCTAGTTGCTCTATTTGCTCATATTCCAAAGTGTAGATTCCTATGGAGAAGAACAAGCAAGAAACTCCATAGGTTACTCTTTTTCAATCAGGTCCACAATACAATCCTTGGTTACATTGTTTTGTCGATGCCTGTCTTTCTAATCCCACTAGTATTTGATTTAAAAACTAGTTTCGTCCTCGTAGCATAACTTTTATTAGTTTCTACATTAACCCGTTGAATTTTTTTGCAAATCATGCCCTAAATGCCCAATGAACAACATACAAAAGTAGTCTCTAAACATTGAAAATAAGGTCTACAATGTAGCTAATAGAGAGCGGTCACCGGTGACTGCTTGGGGATATAAGGGTATTTTCCAAAATAAAAGTAGCCTATATTACTAAGTACATCAGCTACTTTCCAATAAAAGTCTTGCAAAATCTGTCCAGCCATTTCAGAGAATAGCCAGTACAAATAGACAGACAGAAATTGTAAAAAAAAAAAAAATTGGTATGTGTATGTATCATATGTATATTCATATGCATGTAGTAAAAAGTGGTTATTTTAATATTACAATATAATACATTTCAATTTTATTCATCTGTATAGATGTACCGATTGATAGAATTTTTGAAGAAGAACCTCCTCATTTTTTTGAAGTTGGTTAAAAACAGAAGTTTGTGATTGTATGTTTATTACTCTTTGACATAAAAACTACTTAATATACCTGAATGAAATGAAACTTAGCACAGAGACAGATTTCAGTAGATAAAATACTAGGAAAAACACATCCCTGGGAATACAACCAAAATGGCTGAGAAACGTTCTTATTTGATAGGTAGTTCATTTTAAATTATTTGTTTGTAATTTATACTAAAATAAATCAAAGAAAATTAGCAAATTGTTAAGAAGTTCACGCCCAAAAGCTGTATATATTTTTAAAGCAATTCAAGTGTAGGAGAGCCATGTTCGGCACGAATGGGCCGGCTCGACCGGAACGATACCATGGCCGAGCAGAAAACCGACGTGAACCAACGCTTGCGTTGTGTTTCGTCGTGTGAGTAAGGTTATCGGAGGCCCAATTACCTCCAATCCCTAAGAATCCCCAAATTCCTAATCCCTATAAGGCCAGTAACGCACTTGTAACACCTCTAGTGTCTATGAGATTTGGTTGTCCATGGGCGATGCCGATTGCTTACCATCAGGTAATCCGTCTGCTCGTTTATTGGCATACCCCTTAAAAACCAATAAAGGAAGGTTTTTGCTAAGTAACTTGTCAACTACAAATACTCATTAAGCAAGTGATTAAAATATCAATATAGTCTTAATTAGTTACTCCATAAGGTTCATAATTACTTCATTTGCATTATTTTCTCATTAAATTAATTGCTTGTTTAAAATGAATTGGTAAATAACAGGGACTGAAAGCGGTTAAGGTATAACGGTACGGTACCGGTATAAAATAAGTGTACCGAAATTAAAGCTATACCGGTATTTAACCTTTATGCGATAACGGTACCGAAAAACTTAGATTTGACCGTTGCGAGACGTAAAGCTAGGAGTGTGCGGGGTGTGGTGCGAGGGGCCCCACTCCGAGGCGTGGAGCAGCGGCAAGCGAAAAACGCGCGCCTGTGTACCTGTTTATTCGTGTCACTGCTGCAACTAAACTACGCTACCGTTGTATGATTTGTGTGTACCGTACCTATCTAATAACTATATAATAGTCGTGTAACTATTAACTATGAGGCGGAAACGTAAAAATGCAGTATATGGATTGAGATATAAGTACTAATGAGTACATGCGTTTTTTTCATTTTCCAAGGAAAGTAATGTTTCTACATATTTAGTAACTGGATGCTTAGCTATAATAAAATAAGTATTGTACCCATTCATTGTAAACTTTGACCGGTCAGTGAGTATAGATGCAATATAGGTACTACTTATACAACCTATACCCTAAATGTAATTGGTAGGTATGTACATAATTATCTATCTTGTAGCTATAAGATACCTAACTATAACATTTATCTTATTATTCGGTACGTACCTATCTAAACTTTCGGATATCCTAGGTAGGTGTGTACCTAAGAACATCGTAATGTTTGTTTACTTATATTACATACCTACATAAAACCAGTCATTGGGTATCGTTCGTTAGGGTAGGTACTTACCTAAACTTTGATTATTTACTAGGTATATATAATATTATGTTCATAAGATGAATAGGATTAGGTACCTACCTTGGAATTTTAACTACAATTATTATATAATACAAATTATACAAGCCCAAACACAAGGTAGTTACTATAAACCGTTGATGAGTTCCCTTAACAATTACAGTTCTTCATCATCAGACCGTCAATGATTAGTCCTACTCCATCTAGGTGTAAAGTTCTCATCAATACAAATCAATCAAGCCCAAACACAAGGTAGTTAATATAAACCGTTGAGGAGTTCCTTTGACTGTCTGTCGGCTCCATCATCAGGTCGACTCCAGACCCTTTTCAAATTGTACATACATACTTACATAACTTCACGCCTGTCTCCCACGGTGGGTTTTTTCATCACCTATCATTACCTGACATTCTGTTATCACCTCATTTCTTTCTATCACCAACACTTTCGTCTTGTTCACATTTACTTTCATACCTTTCCTTTCAAATGCATCATTCATAGCAGTGATCATTTGTTGTAATTCTTGGGCCGACGAGGCAACAAGCACTGGTCGTCGGCATACAACAATGTTTTAATCACTGTGTCATTCATCCTTAATCCAGACTCTCCTACTTTCAGGTCGTTCAAACAGCTGTCCATAAATAGGTTGAACAGCCAAAGAGATGCTACACAGCCTTGCCTAACAACTCGATTAATTTTAAACCACTCTGTGTAGTCCCCATTTATTCAGACAACGGCACTCGAGTCCTTATATAAGGATTTAAGTACCCGAATCAGGTGGCTATCCACCCCATACATGGACAGAGTTGACCACAATTCATCCCTCACCACTCTGTCATAAGCCTTTTCTAG